TCATATCCTCTTCCATTCAAAAAAAGAAAAGAAAGAAAAATATACAGATAATTTGAAAATGGTCTGACACTTCTATTCTCTTGTGGTGTATGAAAATTAAAGGAGTAGTTCACTTTAAAAAAAAAAAAAAATACTGATAATTTACTCACCCCCATGTCATCCAAGATGTCCACGTCTTTCTTTCTTCAGTTGAAAAGAAATTAAGGATTTCCAGGATTTTCTCCATATAATGGACTTCATTGGGAACCAAACGGTTCAAGGTCCAAATGAGAGTTTCAGTGCAGCGTCAAAGGGCTTTAAACGATACCAGAAGATGAATAAGGGTCTTAGGTCCCTTTGAGTCATGTCTCGAAAAAAGATTTGTTCATTTTGATGAATGAGTTTGAACAGGAGAGTCACGAACGCTCATCACAGAACAGAGCAAGGCGAGCATTTGTGCTTATAAATGTGCTTAAAACTTAAACTTTTTTAAATGACCAATCGTTTTGCTAGATAAGACCCTTATTCACCGTCTGGTATTGTTTAAAGCCCTTTGAAGCTGCACTGAAACTGTCATTTGGACCTTGAACCGTTTGGTTCCCACTGAAGTCCATTAAATGGAGAAAATGCTGGAATGTTTTCATCAAAAACCTTCATTTCTTTTCGACTGAAGAAAGAAAGACACGGACATCTTGGATGACATGGGAGTGAGTAAATTATCAGCAAAAGTTTTTTTTAAAGTGAACTATTCCTTTAAAGTTGATGGCAGATACGAAAAGAATATCTGAAGCTCACCACTCAAGCTCATTTACTTCATTACTAAAAGACAGATGGACAGACAGGTGGATGGATGGATGGATAGATAGATTGTTGGATATTAATAAAATGCTAAATTATACACTATCAAGCAGGTATATATTATACACAATCCTTATAAGAGAGAACAGACAAGCACACAACCACAAAAACACTGAAAAGGCAACGTTTTCCTGCTGTTATGCTAATGCGTCAGAGCTTCAGTGAGAATTATATGTGAATTAAATGAGGTTTTCTGGGGGGGTTTCCCTCTAGAAGGTAAAGCAGGGGAGATTAAGGCACTGTGGCCGTCAGCGCTCTGAGGCTTTGACAAAACGCAGACTGACATAAGTACCACACTCGCTCAAAATCCGATTACGCGCACAGAAACGTGTCAGCGCAGAATCAGGCAACAGGCACCAGAGACCCTCTGTCCTGCACTTAAATGACTTTCTATTTCTCCTGGGCCTCATCCATACTGACACATCCACAAATATTACCACCTACATGGACACACTTCACAAGATCAAATCACAAACTGCTTGAGATGTTCAAAAAGAACATGGCAAATGCATTCATTAGTCCTCCAGTTATTCTGCTGCACTGTAAAAAAAATAGTTTTGGTTTAACTTAAAAAATTAAGTAACTTGTTTGCCTTAAAATTTTAAGTTGATTGAACTGGAAAAAGTGAGTTAATACAATGAAGAGATTGATTTAATCATCAGAAACTCAAAATAATAAGTTATCTGAACTAAATAAATTATTTAAGTGGATTTGACAAAAAAAAAATGCTGCGATAACAAATCTTGAAAATATATATTTTTTTACAGTGACTAGATATGAGAATGAAATATGAATTTCTTCATCAGCTGAAACCACACTGCTCATATGCATTACTTGTGAAAAGATGATTCAAATATGTTTGCGAGTTGCTCAAATATATGTTGCTACATGCACTGTAAAAAAATTGCTTTCATGATTTGGAATCACAACATTTTTTTTGTCAAATCAACTTAAATCATTTATGTAGTTCAGATAACATAATATTTTGAGTTTCTGATGCTTAAATCAATCTCCTTCATTGTATTAACTCAATTTTTCCAGTTCAATGAACTTAAAATTTTAAGGCTACCAGGTTATTTCCTTTTTTAAGTTAAACCAACAATATTTTTTTTTTTTACAGTGTGATGTAAAAAGTAAATCAAAGTCAAACTCTATCAGGGACATTTTGTCATCAACGAGCAATTAAATTTGCATTCGGTCATGGACAAAAGTTATGACACAAAAGATCTGCCTCGGAGAAGGCCTAAACTGTCAGTGAAATTTAAAAACTGGCCTGTAGAACAGTGAATAGCTTGGCTTGTTCCTGTTTTGGAGTCTGGAGAACAATAACTCCATGTTAAGAGGATTATAACAGCACCTGTTATGCACCCAGCCAAATAGGAGGGACATCTGAATTTAATAGTCTCAGAAAAATTGTCTCTGCCGTCCCAGTCCTTTCTTCATCTAAACCTGCAGACACGTCGAACGATGACAACCAATGGAGGGTTCAAGACTGAAGGGCGAAGAAAAAACGCTAATCCCCGCTGTGACCAAACGCGGTTTGGCTGCCTGACATATCAAAGAACAGGTGGACCGAGACCAGGCCTTCTAAAGGCTTTGTTCAATGGATGTGTGCTTTTTGTAGGGTTATGTTAAATGCCGAGTTAATATCGATTTAATGCTTGTCAGCACTTCTATATATTTTTCTAGTAATGCAAATCATCTGAATATTTAGAAAAAAAATCATGCTTGGCAGAAATGGCCTATATATCATCTGATTATCTGCGATAGTATATAATGTATCCTAAAATTGAATTTTAAACTGAAATTCTGCATCTCCGGCTTGATTTAATAGACTTCCTGTTTGTCTAAGCCAATGTTTTAACTTCACTAATAAAAAGTGAGTAAACAGTTGACCACCTGCCAGACCCAACAACCCAGTAAACTATCGCAAAAGAAGCCTTCATGCATGTGTAATGTATTTACTCAGCCCTTCTCTTAACTAGGCAATACTGATGCCAGATAATGCACGAGTTAATCTATTTAGTATATTGTTGTGAAATAAGGGGACTGTGTAAAGAACCTATAGACGGCACCGTAACCGCTCATCTTTCAAGTGTGCACTTAAGTCGAGGTGTTCCGGAGGGGGATAATATCTTGGAAATGTGCATTTAATGGGTTTAATCAAATCCCACCAGCTGTTTTTAGCCTTTGCGAAAAGAAAAAAAATGTGCCAAGCTTCCACAGCTATTAGAAATTAGCTTCGGTCATCGAGACTAAGCCATGTTTCCAGCTAACCATCTGCTAGTCCGCAACAATAGAAGGATTTTCCAAGCAAAGAAATATGGAGTTATAAAAAAATGAAATATAACGGAAAAAAATATGCTTTGTTTTGTTAATTTGCCTTATCACTTTTACAGAATGTGTTTAAATAAATTACTGGTATTACCACTCCACAAATTTAGCCAACTTAGACAAAAACTCTTTTCTGATGTGTGTGTATATATATATATATATATATATATTAAAGGAACAATTGTTTTGTTAAGAGAGTAAATAATGTCTGTATTCACTTTGTAAAATGCTTAAAGTGCTGTTGTAGGGATAAGGTTGGTCTAAAGTAATTATAATTAGCTTAATTTAACTACAATAGAAGTATATGGGAAGACCCTAATTAGATCGCTATGTAAACATATGTGTGTGTGTGTGTCATTGGGTGCAAATAAATTAATTAATTAATATCCAGAAGTTTTAAGATTAATATCCTACAGATTAAAGGAAATATGCATGGCATGCTAAATATTACTGCAAGATATTGAGAGGCTTTATTTTTATGTCCATTTAGCTGATTTTGATATATAGGCCTAATACATGGTGAGAAGTGTTCAAATGTTTAACAAAATGATGAAAGGATGATAAAGATGAAAAGCAGAGGGTTGTAAATAAATAAATAATTAGGCCTTCATTGAAAATAAGATATGCGATGCATAGGGGCCCACCTCACATGCTTGAGTGCTTCCAAAAGAGTTTAAGGAGTGCAACCTCAACAATAAAACATGTTACAAATTCACGAAACTTTCTAGTTATATATATATAGGAAAGGGCAAATAAATAGCCAATTAATTTGCCTTAATTACCCAAGGACCAAATCTAACATGTGATCAACTCTGGAGAGACCGTGCGTGTGTCCAGTCTCTCATATCAGTTAAATACGACTTTAAATGCACCTCTTACGCATGCGTTTCAAATCACATATGCACTTTTATTCAAGCGGTTAAACTGGCAGAATAAGCCTCGTCGTCTATAGAAACAGAGATCGGTGTGTTTTTGTGTCAGAGATCTTTGTGAGGGTAAAAGAAAGCGAGGCGCGAGCAGCTGAGGGTGACAGTTCACGGTTCAAACGGAGCAACACACACGTCTCGCGAGCGTGTGTAAAGTGAGGCCCGCGGGGAAAGTGAATGAAGACTTGCCCCGGTTTCAAACACGGGGGGATATATCTTACACATCTGTCATGGCGATTCAAGCACAAATCCATTTAAAGCTGTACTCCGTGACAGAGCCCAGATTGGATTTCAGTAAAAGTATACAGCATAAATGATTATTAAATGGGGATTTTATCGCGAGGCTCCTGACAGGCAAATGGATGGTTTAAAACGGGATAAGAACTGTCCAAAGAGTATTAGATTAGCCTGTATTCTTTATATTTTAAAGTACATTTCAGACTCTCACTGTCTGTTTTTAGAATTATGGCTTTGAATCCGACAACAATGCTAATTTATAAATAAATTAATAATTTGAATCACCTTGTTTGCCGTAAATATTTTTGTACAATAAGATATAGTAGTATATTTGTTAAAAATAAAATATATAATTATTATTCTGTCCTAGGCCTACTTGCTTATGCTATGTAAATACCCTAAATAAATAAATAAATGGTTGGTCGATATGCAAAATGTATGACCACATCTTCTTTGTTAAGCGGCATGCCCTGGCCATTCAAATCTTATGAAGTCTAATCCAATCATAAATTGCTCTATCGGACCAATCAGGCACCTCCGAGGCTTCATTCAATGGGACTCAAGCGGAGGACTTTATTGAGTCTCATTGTTGTGGCTGTCAGTCCTCAAAGGACCCTTGCAGGGGCCTACATATAAAGTCCCCCTTCCCAAACGGAGACCTCCAGAAGCAAATCGCCTTTCGTTCAGTCCAGAGCTTGGCAGAAGAGACTTATCTAATACTAACAGGAGTAACCGTACCGTCTTATTTTCGTTAATAGCCGGGACAATGATGATCCCCAGTGTTATTGCACCTTCTGCAATATATTCAGCATTTATGCGTCCAGCAGCAGCACCGTTGCATTCACCTTTCCCAGCTCACCCGAGCTTTCTAGTGGAGGACCTGCTGCGCATCCACAGACCCAGCGCGTACCCGCGTCAAGACGCGCGCTCACCATGCGCCTCTCCTCCTTCTTCTACACCTCTCTCCATCCCGGATACCTCCAGGCTTTTGGACAGGGTCAGCCCCAGTATCACGGAGAAACGCGGATCTTGCTCCCCCAAAACGCCAGTTTCTAGCAAGGATCCAACCTACCTCAAGTTTGGGGTGAGTGCCATCCTGGCACCGTCACCAAAGAAAGGTGAGTGTTTAAATAGACCCATCATCACCACTGATGAAGACAAATAAAAGTAAAAAAACAGCACTAACTTCTGTTTGATTCTCTATTTTAGCCACGTCTCCCCTCTCCATTCACGGCATGCATCCCAAAGGATTCCCTGTGCCTTATTTTGATGGTTCATTCTGCCCTTTCGTCCGTTCCTCATACTTCCCCGGTGAGTATTCAGATTTAAATGCTTGTACAGTGTTTTGCATTCAGTCAACACTGTACTAGAGAGATGCAAAAGAGTTAGACTTTCGACTGCAACGTGAGGTTCTTCTCGTCCTCAAGTTTTCCGCTATTGGCTCAGGTCTTTCCCACAGTGGGGGAACATTTCGGCCTGCTGACTGCCAACAATGCCCTCAGCACCATGACCAATCTGGTCATCTCCCTCCGGGGCAAACCACCCACAAACCCGCAAAAGATAGACTTTTAACCAGCGACAGAGGGGCGTTCACCAGTCATGGACTAATTTGCCCATTAGGAGACATTGAGCGGTTTCAATATTCTCACAAGACCACATAGAGTGTGATTGGTGTTTGTGGAAAGAGTTGCAAAAGAACAATATCAAGAGCTGTGCGTGTAGAATGGAGAGCGAGAAATCAGGAAAAAATCGTCTGAAAAACCCGTTGAAGACGCCAAGCATCGGCCTCAGCTCATTGCGCGCGAGTCACACGTCGGCTTGGAAGTGCTCTCTAAATACGGGCTCCTTAAAATACGAGCTTTAAATGCTCTTTTGAGGCAGTAAATATTTAAAGTCTATTCTTTTATAGACGCCACATGATAATAGAGCACGACTCTTTTCACTGCGCGCGCTGAATGCCTTAACAAAACAACTTGAGCGCTCTCAATCGCTTTTCGTGTTCATTTAACGAAACTTATTTGAGGGCAAAAAACGTGGTCCCCGGTCATCAGTATTCCTCCATGCAGTTGCGTTCAGTTTGAAAGTGTAAATCTGCTTTTGTGGCAATAATATATGGCCTTAGCCGTCTGTCCGGAGTCTTTTCTCTGCCAGTTCATTACTACACAATTACCGTTCACGGTATATTAACTCCTCTGTCCTTCACCGGGGGGCTCGTAGAAAAGGATACTCTGCCTTTTTACCATACCAATGCAGCGTGGATCCGGCCCATGTGCTAATTAGTCACCTCGTGCCATTTCACTCAAAACAGGGAGAGCCATTTCAAGAGAATAAATTCCAAATAAAGATGACGATAAAGAAAAGATTTCTCATTCAGCACTTCAGATTGTCCCTGGGAAAAGCAACACCCAATTGCCCTTAGTAACGCAAAGTTAACTTTTAGCCTCATGGGCGAAAACATTTGGAATCTGGTGAATGTGTCCATGAATGCGTTATTTACCTTATGCACTTGTCTCTTGTTACAGCTCCTTCGTCGGTTGTCCCCATCCCTGGGACTTTTTCCTGGCCTCTTGCTGCGAGAGGGAAGCCCAGGAGAGGGATGCTCCGCCGGGCTGTGTTTTCTGATGTGCAGCGCAAAGCTCTGGAGAAAATGTTCCAAAAGCAGAAATATATCAGCAAGCCAGACAGGAAAAAACTCGCGTCGAAACTCGGCCTTAAAGATTCACAGGTGAATATAAAGGCGGGAAATATCGAATAATTTAAATAAAACAATAGAATTTTAATTTGTTTAAACTTGCATAAAGATGTCAAATTGATTAATTGCATCTATACAAGGTTGTTTACATAATAGGCTATGTGTGTACTAGCCTACTATTATTTATATTATATTTCACGCTCGCCTACGTATATAAAATATAAAAATATTTATACATATTTCATACATTTATTATTTCAACTTCTCTGTTGACTTCAATTATTAACGATAAAATTCTCATCTCTTCAAACAGGTCAAAATTTGGTTCCAGAACCGCAGAATGAAATGGAGAAACTCCAAGGAGAGGGAGCTGCTGTCTTCAGGAGGTTGCCGAGAACAAACCCTGCCGACCAAAACTAACCCTCACCCAGATCTCAGCGACGTGGGTAAAAAGTCGTCTGAGGATGAAGAAGATGAAGAGGACGCGTGCGGAGACATCCCTCGCGCGTCACATTTCTGCCTTTCACCGAGACGTGAACTTTCAAACAGCACTAATTCCAGCATTTCATTCAAACACTTGGACTTTTCTGAATCAGATGATGAAATAACAGTGTCATAAGCAGATTCATCGGCTGTATAATGTCTGTATTCAAGCACAAGTTTACGCAATAACCATGTTGTGGTTTTTGGCGTATAAAATCACTTTTGTTTGTAGCAAATATTTTCCACATCACTATATATTTACTTATTTGGAAATTCTTCGCAAAATGATTTTGCTGTGTCGCACAGCTTTTTTGGGGGGAACTGTACAGTGTTTTGTACAAATATTTTTGTATGGATATTTTATACCAAGAATTTTGAGTTTTAGATTCTTTATTAAAGTTGTAGACGTATGTATAATTTATACGAATTTATCTCTTTGTGCCACATTGTATGCATATGTATATGTTGAAAATGTTTTGTATGGTTTGCAAATAAATTGTAAATTTAATCCCTCTTTTTTTGTGTGGTTGATTACAAAATAATAATGAATAATTTACTAAAGGAAAAAAAAAATGAACATTGAATAATGCGAGATAATGCGACAACAGGCCACACTTTAATATTTAATATTTGTTTTAAATGCGATCTTTGAATATATTTTTTGTCTTGTAATCAACAAAATTGCTCATATGTAATTTCGTTTTATCCTTTTTTCATAAAGTCTTCGTATTGAATATCCTGGCCCGGATAAGCAGCCTCAATTTGACCACAAGCACAATCAAAAATTAATAAGGGACTTTAATACAAATACTAGCCATAGACGATATTTCTATGGATTAAATTATGTTTTATCATTTTTTAATAACTCGTTCAAAAAATGAATTTTTGAATGATTAAATAAACCTAAATTATCATGTCAGCATCAAACAGATAACACATTAACCATACATGTTCTCTATTAGATCACTGTATTAAATAGAATAGAATAGAACCGAAACGAAATAAAATCAATGAACTAGGCCTAAATTAAATTAAATTGGCTAAATTCGGTCAAAGATGCGCGAGGACTAGGCTACTGCACAGAGATCCGAATCAGTTCCTACCAAACGAACCGATTCACTAAAACGATTCGAACTTTGCAGACTTTTTATTGCTTCAAAACTGCTACAATAGCTACAATTGTGACAAACACGCAACTACGTATTTTATCTCTACCGCTACTTGTTGCGCAATGTAGCTCTCTCATCTTTTAACCTGTTTAGTTAACAACAAGGCCTACAACAAGAAAACATTGATTTAGCTAAAATGTGGCAGTACATTACTGGGGTAAAGATGCCAGCTGAAACAAACCAACAAAAAGATGAGGATGAGAAAAAGAAAAGTAAAAGACATTTTAAAACAAAGTAGACAATTGGCGGCAATGGTAAGGTTCGTGTGCGGCTGATTTAAGACAGCGACTGTTTCGTAACGTTCATGCGATCAGAAAGACGATGAGGCCCTTTTCTGACTACGTTTGGATGTGCGAGTATTAAACTGTTGGTGAGATGGGATGAGATGTAACGCGTGTGCAACTGTGCATGTTAGGAGTTGGGGACCGGTGAAAAAATGTCCGGTACCCGGTAACTCTACCAGTAATAACAATATTAATTTAGTTCATAGTTAACGGTTTCTGAACGCTGTAACTAAAAGCTGTTAAGACCGGTCTACGTGACTGTGGCGGATGTTGGTGAGCCTGGGACAGGTCAGTTTGAGTTTTTATTTAATGGAATTTGTTTACAGTAAAGAATACACAACAACATTATTTTGGTTTAATAAACTTTATTTAAACTTTCGTTTGGAGTGAAGTGCGCACACTCTTAAACGTTTAGTTTAAGTTTATTCTTACCGTTCTTTTTGTTTGTTTGATACGTCTTTCCCGTGAGCTCGTGCACCATCAAAAGGGATTCAAGTGGAAACATTGGACGTATATATATGGTTCCGGTGATCGGGCCTCAACCATTCCGGTTTCTTCTCCGGGGGAACTCCAAGGACTATTTTGCTTGCTTTTCTTTTGTTTGTTTGTTTATAAGAAGTATATTTATTAAGTGAAGTCATTTGATAGTATTATTTGAGGTGTTTGTTTATGTGTATTGGGTGTTTTCATATTCGTTTATTGTGTGTAATGGCCATTATACGTCTGTGTATCCCCCTTTATGTGTTAATTGGTGCTGGCCACCAAGGTATAAATTTGTTAATTGTTTCTGTATGTGAGTTAGATTCTTATGGGTTCCAGCCCATATAGGAGTGGAAGGTAACGAAATGGCTGATGAGCATGCAAAGAGAGTAACAGATAAAAGCAATATAGATATAGATGTAAAGTACAGTAAAGCAGAGATAACAAGCATAATTAAGGCTAAAACTATTAAAAAGTGGTAACATATCTGGGATAATGGGTATATATATGAAGAGTTCAGATGCAAAAGCCTCTGTGCCATTTGAAATTTTTTTCTAGAATGATAATTTTTATCAAGCTTGTATATTTAAGTTCAGTGATTTCAGTTAAATTGCAATGAGGATTACCTATTAATTGTCATTTAAGTGAAATTACTGAACTTGAATATATAAGCTTGATAAAAATTATCATTTTAGAAGAAAATTTCAAATGGCATTTAGAGGCTTTTGCATCTGAACTCTTCATATATATATATATATATATATATATATATATTAGTATATATTATATATATTATATATTATATAGCACAATAGTATATATATTATATATATATATATATATATATATATATATATATATATATGGTGTGTGTGTCAAAATCAATGAATAAAAAATTTATGTTCTTAGAGTTATTAGTACTTGACAGCACTTAAATGTGTATTCTTACAAGTTAAAGAACAATATTGTGGAATTCTCGTTTTTTTTTTTTTTTTGTTGTTGTTGTTTTCCAACTTTATGAGGCAAAAAAAAAAGGCAGGTAAAAAGTCTCTTTGGCAGGTGAATGAATTTTTAAATCCACCTGCCACAGTGGCCGCGGTGGCCGAAAAAGTTAACTTCAGGCCCTGATATGTATATATCTATACATATATATTAAACACGGTTCAACAGTATAGGCCTTTTCTGCCACTCCCTGGCCTTATCCACTTACTGTTTGCCAAACCACACTGTTGATTGCCTCTGGGCTTACAATGACAGAAGAAAATTTTAGAACAGGAGTGACAATTACAGTGAGAGAATAGGGCAAAAAGAACAGGGTTAGCGTTGGCACATTTGAACAAACCAAGGGATACAGTTAATGACTTCCCAGAACTGAATGATTATTCGGGACAGACTTTCTTTGAGGACAACTTATATCCTTCAACAGAACACGTTTAAACAGATAGTTTAGTGATGAGCGGTCAAGAGAAGAACATGAAACCACACACAGAGACTTCACCTTAACATAGAGAGCAAGGCCAACCTGTGAACGAGTTCCCCAGAATGAAAGATGCACTGTCATGGTAGGCCTACTAAACATTATGATGCATCTAAAAAACTGCCAATACTTTTATATGTGGAATTAACTTATGACCTTTGAATGTTTCACACCCATCCTTAAATTTAATAGGCCTACAAATATGTAAAATGACTCTAACTCAATGTTCATTTTATTGTCTGTGGCCTACTTTACATTAAAAACATTTTTTTTTACAGTCTTTGATTAAAACATGTAGGCTATTCTTTAAGGGTTTACGTGATGGATGCGTGTCCATAATTCTCTATAAAATCATGTGGTGTGAATATATGATAGGCTACTCTGTACAAAAAATAAATAAATGGTTTGTTGTGTTAACCAAAATAATAAATCTGCAAACTAATTGTGAAACAATTGTCTAATCGGTTTTGTCACTTGTGTAGGCTAACTTGTTCATTACCCTCGCAACGACAACAATAACAAAAAAACAACAACAAAAAAACAAAAAAAAAACCCGCGTTGTGTGTAAATGGCCCATTTGATGACTAGAAAAATGCTTTAATAACAAATTTAGGATTATAAACACAACGGATCAATTGTAACAGTCTAAATCAATAAAGTCCTCCAAACTCTTCTCTGAACCTCGAGCTATATCGCCCTCCGAATAATGGGTGAATCTGCATCTTTTCGATGCGATGTGTACTTCCGGATTGGGAAACGTTATGTTCATACTTACCCAACAACACACACCAATGGAATATAGTGAACACACTGATCCAACAAAACACAACGCTGGTGTGTGTGTGTGTGTGTGTGTGTGTGTTGGCGTTTCTTGACAGCATAGTCTAGCATCTACTGGGTGACAGCGCCATCTATGTTCCCCATGCAGTGTTTTCAATAATTTACACATTTAATAATTGAAATACACAGGGGATAACTTTTTTGTGTTTAATTTTTGAACAGGGGACAATTAAAACAGGACAGTAATTATTTAGACCCATCTTAACTGATCAATTAGAGACTGCTCAGGATTGCAAGGCCATCACCTATATGTTTCAACAATATATCATTTCAAAATATTTTCTCAGTGATACAGGTGAACATTGGAACAATGCCTGAGATTACTTGAGTAATCATTTGGAATACATAGAGCTGGTCAGTTTGTCATCATAAAACTGGGAAGAGAATTAGCATGGAATGAATTTGAATATAGAAGTATAAGGGCAAGTTCTTGATGTTTCAGACGGCCACTGTATTCAGCGGCATGTTAGCCACTCGAAACCAAAAGGTAAAAGATCCCTTACAGTTATATTAATCCCTTAATTTAATCATAAATTAATATACTTTTTAAAACCACACAGAAAACTCATGGCAAATCATCCTCCAGGTATGAAGTGTGGTTTTTATTGCATTTGTTGTATTACTCTTATTTTTTGTTAAAGATATGATGTGATGGAAAAAGTTGATATCAAAATGAAATGAATTTATTTCTTGTATAATTTCTTTTTCATCAATGTGCTTTGCATGAAGCAGTGTAGACATCATAAAACTAATAAACAATAAATAATCATTAGGTTTATTGAATTAGAAATAATTTAAACCTGGTAATGGGATCAGTAAATCTTCGTGGGTCGTCTTGCGTTTCACAGATCATCCGTGGGAACCTAGACGACCGGTAAGATGAAAAAGACACTGTACACAAAATATTCCATATTTCCAAGCACTGTTATAAATGGCTAGAAAAAGATTATTCAGCAAAATGCAGCCTGCAGGGTAGTCAAATATTTACACTGATATATTACAGCAAGAAACAAGGTTTCAGCAAAGTACACATTCAGTGACACGGGTTCTGTTCGATTATAGCCCTCCCGTTTCAGTTACAACAATCACATACAACATTTGTGCTTAAAATGACTTCATCATCATCATCATCATAATCCATCAAAGAATATTAGGCACATATCCTAAAATTATTCACACATTATATACACAATGTATTGGCAGTGCTGACAGCATTACAGAGCTTCGATATTTGGCTTCCGTTTTAAATCCGCGATGATGTTGCATAGGATCGATGACTTACAGGAATCATACGCTGGAGTGAAATGGAAGCGATGTTGTAACTAAAACCCTGTAGTGCCATTCGAACAGCATTAGACAACGTAAAGAAGGTGAAAACACTGAAATAGCCCCATATATAATGCTTTCCCATGCAAGGAAACTTACTATCCATCCAAATAACGTTCCTTTATAGAGGATCAAAGATAAAACTTTTATGTACAAACCCCCCAGAGGCGTCCTTGCATTACGAAGCAGCAAATACAGTATATTACGAATCCAATGTCTATGTGGACCTATGTCTATGTCTTTCACATTGAATGCAAGATATGTACACGATAAAGGCCAAAATGGTCAATGAGGTAATACTCATACACCAAATAATGAACGAGTTCTCCTGCAGCACACGGTGCTTTTGCCAAGATGTTTTTGAGAAGGTCTTTAAGCACCAAGCAAAGCCTTACAGCTAAACCACTCGAGATGCACTTCGCCGGTAGTGATTATATGCATTTCACGTGTGTAAAGGCATCATTTGTCTCACATTTGAACGTTTTCAAGAAAGTGATGCTATTGTAACTGTGCCTGAAAAGTAGGCTACACAAAGCTCCCTTTATCCACTTCCTCTTCTTCAAACCTCACAATGTCGCACCTCTGATATGATATGATGACTATGAGGCTGTTTATTATAGGCCAACTCAAAGAGTAGCGCAGAGCCCTGTAGCTCAATTACGAAACGTAATCAAATCAGCATTTTTCGGAAGTATAAAACATAGTGCCGTTTTCTTTACAAAATGGAGTAAGGCACCGGATTCCATTCAGCACCAAAAACAGAGAGCGATCGAGTGTAAAAAACAGATAGATAGGCTTTGTGCTACAGTACAACAATGGATCATGCGGTCAGCAGGTGCTTTAAAAAAAGACATTATTATGCGGGAGGGCAAATGAGTTTGTTTTTTCCCCCAATCGTCACAATAAATAAGTCTAAACTCAAAAGTGTAGCACCATGCTATTTCATCCATATCTTTATCCCGTTAAACATGAAGCGATTGGTCAGAATCCGATCAAGCTGGTTTTGTAAAGTCATGAGCAAATCCATCAATAGAGGGAAAGGCGATGAAGGTGGTGGTCTGAAGATGTAACTCCGCCATTTGACCAGTAGAGGGTAGTAAATCAAGCGAGCATTGCATGTGCGCCAAAGTTTCTCCGATTGTTAAGGTGTGGTCACATTTTGCGGGTGAAATCCACTCTTTCAATAGGAATCCACGCAATCTGTAATTTCGTGACAGGGCGAAGTTGGTCACATGGATTTATACGTCGCTACACTATTGACAATTCGTAGAAATTCGCTCACGTGACCGCACTTTTACTTTTGAGGTAAAAATTGGGACAAAGGACTTTCTTCTGATTTTGCCGATGTAAAATTTAAGTGGTTCTCAAGAGGCAGCTTAGAGTGCCATTGCGTTTTGCCGTTTATATATTTCTTTATATATATATCTTTTTATATATTTTCGTCTTTATTTGGGTTGCCAGCACCCGTTGTGATTTCATGTAGACTTGATTTGAAGGCTGAATCAGAGTGTGGACTCCAGGGAAGAGTCCAGGATATCGTCATGATGACTGTTGCTGTTGGAGTCGCTGTCGTAACTCTGCGGGTTGGAGCAGCCGGCCGCCTCCTTCAGACGCAGGAGCATGTTCATCTGTTCATACGATACACACAAATAACAGTCAGCCCAGATGTAATAATAATATGTGTTTGAGGAGAAATATATATATAATTATTATACATTATATATATAATAATTATACAAAGTGCACCCACAAATATTATGTAAACACAAACTTATTTTGGATGCGATTTATCGTTTATATATATATATATATATATACATACATACATACACACATGCTTGTATATATTTAAGACATATTTTCATGTATATACTGTATATAAATTTATATATAATTTATATTATATATATATAAATATAAGTATTTTATATATAAATAATCGTTTGACAGCCCATATATATATATATATATATATATATACGTATATATGTCTGTGTGTGTGTGTGTGTGTGTGTTGACATTAACATTAAGCAGTGTAATAATATATTGTATTATTATTAGCTAACGGTGTATATTACACTGCCAAAATGTATTGTTATTGGCAGTGTATATAATATATTGTTAATTGAAGCTTTTAAAAATCATTTTTGTTAATTTAAATCAAGTGAAAAAAATAAATAAATAAAACTTAAATAAAATATAAATATTAGATGATTTTTGAAGTACTACAATTACTATCTAAAACAAATACAAATAAATTAAAGCTAAATATAAATAACATGAAAGAAGATGTAAAATCGGTGTGTGAATGAAGATGGAAAAAGATAGCAAAATCAAATAAAACTTGAAAATATATAATTAAATAAAATAATAATATAATTAAAATGTATACATATACAGCTTAATAATCATTCATAATATATACTAATACATACATGAATAATACTAAAATAAGTGGCATACTCTATTTGCTGACATATTTGTTGCCCATGATTAATTTATTCTTATTTAATTCACCTCAGTAAAAATAAATGAACATGTATTCGGCAGGACATGTGATCATGACCGCTGATTCATCAGTGAGAATTTACACACATTTTTATGTTTATAAATTATGTTCAATCATTGATTTTCTTGAGCAATCCTTCCAAGACCATATAATGTCCCCGATTTGAAGAATTATTTTTTAAAATAATACACTACTGCAGAAAATAACATATTTTGTATTTGTATATGTAAACATAAAACCGTTTGAGAGCAGTACGAGTTTATGGGTTCACTCCTGCTTGTGTTACTCACCAGCGGGTCGGCGTCGCTGTCGCTCTGAGTGCTCTGTTTGTTAAGGCCCTCTCTGGAGGCGGAGTATCCATCAAAGCCCACGTCCTCTGGGCGGAGCTGCAACAAAGCTGGCCAATCAGGATGCTGATGAGAAGCCGCCCAGGGAAAAGTTTCCAGAACCCACAGCGCAGGATCCTGCCATGCTGCCCTGCGACCATACAGCTAAACAAATGCAAACAAACAGAGATTGAATAAACACTTACACTGAGAGATACACAGAAGGAAGATTGAAGATTGAAGGATGTTGTGTGAGGTGACTTTTACAGTTACATTTAATAAAACGTATTAGTGTCGGAATATGTGGATTTGACTATAAACGAGGGCAGATGTTACCTGTAAGCCTTCTCTCACAGCCTCCAGCATGTAGGGGATGATGGAGTAGTTCCACAGGTCAGTGAACCAAACACGAGAACCGTCCACATCCATCGGACACGACAGGAACAAACGTGGACCTGGACGAAGACACGTGACACTCAAATTCAACACTTGTGGAGCAAATTAGTAACACTGAGAACGTCTGTTAATATTGGGTTTCAGAATGGTGGTTTATCTCCGTACCGATGGTCACATCAGAGGAGCTGTGAGCCTCCAGGAAGCGGTTGAGGTGGTGCCAGACTTGAGGGATCCAGTCGATGATCTTCACCAGCTCCAGGGTCCGTGTTCGGCTGCCGATCTCAGTCTCGATCAGCTTTCTCCTCAGAAACCGGCCCAGGAAACCTTTCACCGGCTCCATGTGATTAGCACACAGCACCCATCTGTGACGGAAAACACATGATGCTCACGTTGACATCATCACTGCCTTAGAAGATGTTAATTAAAAAGTTATAATCAATAAAAAAAAATAACATCTATCTTTACATCTATTTGGATGTTAATGAAAAGGACTTCTCATCACTGCTTTCAACAATAGTGCAATGGCGCTACCTAGAGGTCACTCCATTGCAGTTTCCCCACTAAAGGGATAGTTCACTTTGAAATTAATTTTTGGTATGTTTTAGCTTACCTCAAGGGCATTCAAGATGTAGGTGTCTTTGTTTCCGCAGTATTTTCAATTTTGATATTTTTAGGTCAAACCGTTCTTGTCTGTCAGTCATATAATGCAGGTCTATGGTCACCACCTCACAGAGAAGTTCAAATTAAACATGATTTGATGACTCGTAAATGTAAGTACACATTGATGGCCTAAGACACGAAACGAGCGATTTGTGTGAGAAAACGATCTTGTAACCACAGCCACATCCAAGTGATCTGAGAGCACGGGCGCTTTGTGGCTGTGGTTACAAGAGGTAAAAACGATATAAATACTGTTCGTTTTCTCAAACAAACCGCTCGTTTCGTGTCTTAGGCCATCAATGTGTACTTACATTTACGATTCATTAAATCATGTTTAATCTGGACTTCTCTGTGCATGCTCTTTGAGGTGGTGACCATAGACCTCCATTATATGACTGATAAACACAAAACAAAGGAAACAAAGACACCTACATCTTGGATGCCCCTGATGTAAGCTAAATCATACCAAAAATTAATTTCAAAGTAAACTATCTCTTTAAGGCTAATGTATAATTTTTAGTGCTAATTGAAGAACAACATAGAGAGCAGTTTTGTACCTGAAGTTATGATGAAGCTGCAGGTTTGGAGCAGAAGATGTCGCCTGACTCATCGTGCCGATTATATACGGGCTGCAAACACAGAGAGACAAAATAAAACCTTTAACTGTACACTCACTTGTTGTTGTGTTCGTGTGTATGTTTTATTTTTGACTGTTATATATTGTATACACTGAATATTGCGTAGTGACTACATAAACACATGATATTTGACTAATACAAATTATATAAATACACACTATTGTTCAAAAGTTTGGGGATCGAGATGGTACTATTGTTTATCAAGGCTACATTCATTAGCTACAAATATAGTAAAAACAGACATATTGTGAAATATTATTACTATTTGAAATAAGTGTTTTCCATTTAAATATATTTTAAATAGTTATTTATTCCTGTGATGCAAAGCTCATTTTTCAGCATCATTCCTCCAGTCTTTAGTGTCACATGATCCTTCAGAAATCATTTTCACATGCTAATTTGCTGCTCAAGCAACATTTCAGATTATTATAAATTATTAACAGTTGTGCTGCTTAATATATATATTTTTTTTCCAGGATTCCCTGATGAATAGGAACATCAAAAGAACAGCAAATCTTTGGTAACATTATAAATGTCTTCCACTTTAAACCACTTCAAGATGTCCCTACTGAACAAAACTCTTCATTTCTTTCAGGATTAAAAACTAAAAAATAATAATAATAAAAAGCATGAAAGGCAGACTGACCAGCGCTGGTATTTGCAGTTCAGCAGGCCGTTGAACATCTCTCCCAGTGAGCTGACGTGATGAAGGTTATCCAGGATGAGCACAAGAGGGGCTTCAGTCTCCGGCCCGTCAGCGCTGCACTGATCCACTATATTTGCCAAGTACTGACGCAACTCCTAGTAAATACATGTATACATCTTTACTTTTTAACGTCCAAGGATTTCTAGACTTCGGAATCGGCTCATATCTTGTTAGCTAATAATTTTTCGTTTTCGTTATTAAGATAAAAAGCTTTGTTTCTAAAGGGAAAAGGTGAATTTACCTTTCTCTTTTACAGTGGTGTGAATAAGTTTTGGCACCCATGCTAAAGTTGCCTAAAAAGAGGAATAAAAAATCATCTTTTGGATATTGATCTTAATGCCTTAATTGGAAAAATGAGGAAAACTCCAACCTTTAATGACACAAATTTTCTTTGTGAATGAATAATGTATCATAAATAAATAAATGTTTTTCCTTAAAATACAGGGTGCATAAGTCAGGACACCCCTATGTTAGATTCCCATAGAGTCAGGCAGATTTTTATTTTTAAAAGCCAGTTATTTCATGGATCCAGGATAATATGCATCCTGATAAAGTTCCCTTGACCTTTGGAATTAAAATATCCCCACATCATCACACACCATTCACCACACCTAGAGATTGGCATGGGGTACTTTCCATAAGGTCATCTTTCAATGCAAATCAAACCAGCTATTAGGCTAACTGAAGTAAAACCATGCCAATCTCTAGGTGTGGTGAATGGTGTGTGATGATGTGGGGATATTTTAATTCCAAAGTCCAAGGGAACTTTATCAGGATGCATATTATCCTGGATCCATGAAATAACTGGCTTTTAAAAATAAAAATCTGCTTGACTCTATGGGAATTTAACATAGGGGTGCCCTGACTTATGCACCCTGTATTTTAAGGAAAAAACATTTATTTATTTATGATACATTATTCATTCACAAAGAAAATTTGTGTCCTTAAAGGTTGGAGTTTTCCTCATTTTTCTAATTAAGGCATTAAGATCAATATCCAAAAGATGATTTTTTATTCCTCTTTTTAGGCAACTTTAGCATGGGTGCCAAAACATATTCATACCACTGTAGATACTAGAGAGAACTGATTTAAACAACATGGCTCACACAACACACACCAGCATTTTAGATTTTAAAGAAAGAAAAAAAACAACAACAATTCTCACTTTGCTGGATTTATGGTCGACATTGAAGGTGACGATGCTGCTCTCATTGGGCAGTTTTCCCTCTCGCAGGGCCAGATGCTCCGCCAGTCTGTGGGCCAGGTAGGATTTCCCAGTGCCACTGGGGCCTGAAAGGATGATCCTGCGATGCTCCTGGAGCAAAGACACGTAGCGCTGGAGCATGGCTTTGGGAATCAACGTCTCGAAGACCAGAGAATCCTGGGACTGGGAGTTCACACCTGATTTGAGTGAAACAAGCACAGGCACATGTTAACGACAACCGAAATTTGGAACAACTATAACAAATTGCGATAACAAATAAAACTGTCTGTCTGTGTGAACCTTTCAGCGAGACGTTGATCGTGTCATTCTCTCCAACGAGGTATCCACACGGCAAGAGTTCAGGTGTGTCTGTCCCGCTGGACCGGATCACGTCTCCAATACGATAGCCCTCGACACTGTCTGAACCCAGACCCAGATGACTGACCGGATCGACATGCCTGACGTACTCCTACAGAGAGACAATCACATAATCAAACCCAACGATGGTCTGTAATAGACTGTTATACAGTGTGGTTGGATAATATTGTGTGTTGATTCCACATCTTTCTCAAATTAAACTAGAGAACTTTTTGCAAACCACTTCATGTTAAATATAACCCAGTCTCATCCCAAGAAGTCATATAACTGACGTCTTTTGACCATACGTCAATATCCGCCTTTTTTGGGTACCCTTAAACGTCGGTTATATGACGATCCTGGGACGTCATACAACTGACGCTTTACCTTTAACGTCAGTTAGGTGACGGGGTAGGTTTAGGTCTGGGGTAGAGTTAGGATCCGATAACGTCATCTAACCGACGTTTAAGGGTACCCTAAAAAGGCGGATATTGACGTATGGTCAAAAGACGTCCCAAGACATCAGTTATATGACGTCTTGGGATGAGATTGCGCTGTTAAATACCTCGATGAAAAAGTAAAAAGATTAATCAGAGAGAGCTCAATTAGTCGGTCTACACACTTTTTAACATACACCACTTCATGTCACCTCCGTGCCTTCTTGGCAACTGGTATATTAGCGACACCTACTGTTCATACATGTATTTCAATATACCACAATCAGTCTAATGTGCCTGAATGTAAACCACTCATCATCAATAACTCATTACTTTACCTTAAACAAGCGCCGTACAACTCCATCGAGAACGTCCCACTTGGTTTTTCCACTGACACCAATGCAGCCGATCAGGAAATCTCGATTCCTGGTGTCCTGTGGGAGACAGAAGACACATCATTACAGGGGTGATGAACTGAGAAATCAAATTTTCCTTGAGCTTTTGACATCATATTATAAGAATGTCCTTTAAGTTTCAGAACTGAAAACGTCCTTGTTAGTCCAATAAAAGCTTTTATTGACACCAGGCTCAACAAACGACTCGTTTTTCAAAGTGGGGAACTATGACGTCAAAGAGGATAAAACCCCACCCCCGCAAAAGAAGATCGACGCCTACTTCAAGACGGCTGGTTTAGCCCCGCCCACCGATTCGAGCATTACACGCATAGCTAAATAACATAGATGCCTACCTCGTGATGACAAACCGGATCGAACTACCGAGCAATACAAAATATTGTGCAGCGCCTGGTTGTGGAAGAAGACAGTCGCTGCATAAGCTTCCTCTGGATTCCAATAGGACTGCATGGATAAACTTTATTTTTAATGACGTTCCAGCTGATGAGGTAAAACATCGTCCGTCTGTTTGCTTCATTTCACTGAGGATTGTTTTGTAAACAACACTGGATTTGCAGACCGATTAAGAGTAAAGAACGGTGCTGTGCCGTCTATATTGGATCTGACGGGAATTATGCAACACACGGACTCTGGGTCGAACATGTATGGGCGAATCATTCCGGTTGCCATTTTACAACATTGGACGTTTTCAAAACAATTTCCCCCAAGTGCATCGACGAGTGAGTTGAAACTCATTATAATATCCAAAAGTGTTCAGCAGTGGGCGTTCACTTCCAAGTCTTCAGTGCGAGACGCCCATAAAAACCGAGCGTTTTTGAGCTAGGCTCAAAACTAGGGTACAAAATAGCCTATTACTTATTCAGTTTGATGTTTTTTGATGCATGTAAAAACCAAGCAAACGTCATAAGTTGACCTCAGACAACAATATAATAAAATTTAAAAAGCCAGTTCATCACCCCTTTAAAACATTCAAGTATTTTTTTTTAAATCTTCCAGCAAAAAAAAAAGCAGAACTGACCTCTTTCCACATGACGTCCTCTTGAAGACTGACAACTATTTTCACATGTCTGCTCTCTTTCCGAGAGCTTCCGTCTCCACCTGAGTCATCCAGCAACATGTCTAAAAGAAGACGGACTAGATCTGTAATGCACTTTTATGATTTCCCCTCACATACAGCTACAAAATCAACCTTTAGGGAGCAACACAATAAGTAGTTTTACACACACACAAAACAAAACAAAAACATTCTTGTACCGAAGCTGGTGGACTCTGTGAGATTGAGGCTGTGTTGAGACAGGCCAGGCGTCGGGGTCGGAGTTGGGTTATAGACGGACACTTGAGAGGACGCCCTGCTTCCACTGGCTTGGCTTTCCAACTTAAGACGATCATTTTCCATCTTTAGCTTCTCGATCTCCACCTATCAGACCACCCACACGGGGATAAAACATGTAACATACTTAAAAATCCAATGAATCTGATTGGTGGGACTGGGTGAATCTCGCACCTGCATGCGGTTCATAGCCTCGCGCAGCTGGTCCAGCTGGTGGGCGGAGCTTAGGGCTTCCAGTCGAATATCCGTCAACTTCATCTCCTTCTCTCGCAGCTCATTACGCAACTGCATCACAGTCTCCGCCTCCCCATCCAGACAGTCCGACAGTCTAAATCACAGCACACATGTCCTGATTAATATATCATTTCACCTTTAATGAATAATCAGGTCAAGACACGAGCACACTCACATTGAGCTGGAGTGTGTGTTGCGGAGCAGCAGTGCTGAGGTGCCGGTGCCGTTGTGAGGGAGTTTGGGAGAGGAAGGGAGGGAGGAATCCGTCATCTCCTCGATGTCTGAGTGGGATGAGGCCGACTTGGGGGATTTCTTCTTACTGAAGGCCTGTTTGAAGGAGCTTCGCAGCTGCAACGACAGCAAACAGAACAGAAGATCATGAAGCTGAGAGTTACTGGAAAACGATTGGGCGGCACTTAAAGTATGAGCAGGGGAAGCAGTACTTTGAGAACAGGGAAGGAAAACAGAGAGAGAAAGAAAGAAGGGAGAAACAGCCGAAAATAAAAAGGTAAGGTTGGGCATCATCCATATCAAAGTTTGAAGATAAAGCAGCCTTTTTATCTGTAAAATGTTTTATGTATAGAGAGCCTAAGTCCCGCCCCTCCGCTGAGTATAAAAACAAAAATATATGTGGTACTTAATGGCGAGAGACAACTTATCTATCTATTCCGTCTGAACTGTGCAATGAATTACACATATGATGTTTGTCAATTTAAAAGATAATTCTGAAAGTCAAAAACGTTGCAGTTTGTCATAAAATAGTTTAATGTGAAAATCGCTCAATGAACTACATCTCCCAGGAAGCGAAACAATGAGCGAGATCCGCTGCTCGTGTGTGTGCAGTCTGGTACAAAACACTCAGACATGACGGCATAACGTTACGATTAAAACGTAAGACTATAGAAACAATGACAGACATTAGCCTCAGTAAAGTTAGCTTCATTCATTGAGAGAAAATGTGCGCCTTTGGGGTTTGTAGTCTTTACATATTATCGTCTTATACCTCAACGGTTTTACATCAAACTGCGACTTTCTTTACTTTAAAATGTATCTTTTAAAATCGACAAACATCATATGTGTAATTCAGGGCACAATTCAGACGAGATCAAAATATTTGTTGTCTCTCGCCATTGACTACCATTCAATATTTTTCCGAAATAAGGTCCCATGGTGGTCGACCGGAAAGGGAAGGTCTTAGGCTCTCTATAGATTTGAATGTGCTGAGCATTTAAACTGTTATTTTGACAGTTAAACAATTATATCTATTTCGGTAGAGTTGCAAAACCAAGACGTTCATTATCAACAAGTAAAAAAAAAAAAAAATATATATATATATAATTAAGATGTTTAAAGTAAAAAATTCTAAACAAAGAAGTTCATAATCAAGAAAAAAAAATCAAAATAAAGAAGTTTACATTCATTTACATTCGAAAGGAAGTTCATAATCAAATTCAAAATAATCAATAATCAAGTTTTTCATTAAAAAGTTTAAATCAAGAAATGTAAAATCAATAAATATATATATATATATATAATCAAGAAGTTCGACATTTAGGAATTTAAGCATTCAATATCAAAAACTAAAAGTCAAGGTTCATGATAAAATCAAGAACTCAAATATCAAGAACCCATGACTCGAAGGGCAGGAAAAAAGGGAAACAAATGTCAGACTTTGCAGTTGTCCCGTGTAACACTATGTACTAAAATAAATATCAGCTCAATTGTATAAATAAATTAGTGCTGTCAAATCGATTAATCGCGATTAATCACATCCAACATAATGCTTGTGTTTATATAATATATATATGTATGTTTGTGTGTGTGTATACTGTACATGTCTGTCTATACACATAGAGTACATATACACATACATATATTATATAAACACAAACTTTTATGATAGATGCGATTAATCACGATTAATCGATTTAACGGCACTAAAATAAACATAATGACTCAAGAAGGACATTATTTTGAATATAAAGGAAAGAAGGGGAAAAAGAGGGATAAGTGAGACAAGCACAGCGAGCTGTGGAGCAGTGCATCTATCGTCTAGCAGGGTTAGGAGTGAAGCTGGGTTAACTAACACACTCTCTTACCTCATACACCTGCCACATGAAGCGAAAAACAGAGAGACACAGAAAAGCACATTCAGCCGTGTGTGTTTGTGTCCCGTCACATGACACTATCGAATCACTGTCTACAACTTCTACCACTAAATCTGCGGGAGAGTCTTGCTGAACTACAGTACATCACCATGTTTCACCTGAAAACCCATCAAGACCAACACACACACACACACACACCTCAGTGATGCGTCCACTAGGACCAATGCACAAGCAATAACACAAATTGATTAATAGGGACCTAGTTAAGCTGGTTGCCGTTCTCCAAAACACTATATGACCGTCTGGACCACCAGGCTGGTATATGGCTTGTTTTTTGCTAAGAGGACAGTGATGCATCTACAAAGCTGAATATCTAATTTAAACAACTAAAATCAATATAAGAATAACAACACAAACTGGGAAACTAGTCATTTAAAACTCAAACTGTTGGTGTATCGTTCAAAAATTTTGGGATCGGTATGATGTAAAAAAAAATATATATATATATAATTTATGCTCACATGAATGCATTTTTTAAATAAAAACACAGTAAAAAACATAATATTGTGAAATATTATTACAATTGAATTCAAAACAACAGTTTTCTATTTTAATATATGTTAAAATGTAATTCATTCCTGTGGTGCAAAGCCGAATTTTCAGCATATACTCATCATCTTCAGTCACATGATCCTTTAGAAATCAATGTAACATGCTGATTTGTTGCTCAAGACACATTTAATATTATTATCAATGCTGAAAACAGTTGTGCTGCTTAATATTTTTTTTTTTTGCAGAAACCAGATACATTTTTTTCAGTATTCTTTGACAAAAGGAAACAGCATTCATTTGAAAAGTTTATTATTATTAAAAATGTTTTTTATGTCACTTTTGATCAATTTAAAATCCTTGCGGGATAAAATGTATTTATTTCAAAAACCAGCCAAAACAACAACAAAAAATCTTCCCGACCCCAAACTTTTGAACAGTAGTGTATATAAATCTACAAGACTGCTAGCCTATCAATGTTACACTTGTCCAAACATAACAGGGTAACTGTTGTCATTATTATTTAACATACGTATTCGTATTCATATTCATCATCTGACACGTCACCTCCAGCACAGGACACCAGCTACAGCCAGCATGACACAGCAAAACAAGACGTACAAAATATTAAACTCTATGTGCATAGTAAATACACTATCCTTAAATTTCGCATTTAACAGTTTTCGGGAAAAGCGGCAGCATTTAGTTACATATCACGGTACTGTGTTTGCTAGTAGTGTTTATAATACTATTTTAAGTTTAAGCAATTTAGACAAAACAAAGACAAATGTTAGACACAAACAAAAGACAGAATGAAGAATCGTTTAAACAGTTCTTAGGACAATAAAGGGATAGTTCACCCAAAACTCATTTAGTTGTTCCAAAACTGTATTAGTCTGAATGAGTATAAAATATATTTTGAAGAACATGGGTAACTAAACAGTTGATGAGCCTCATTGACTACCAAAAATATCATCATCATCTGTCTGGTTACCCATATTCTTCGAAATATCTGGTGTTCAACAGAAGAAAGAAACTCATACGGGTTTGGAACAACTTGAGGGTGAGAAAATGATGCCAAAATGTCATTTTTGAGTGAACTATCCCTTTAAATGTTGGTGAGAGGAGAGTGTACTCACCCAGTTCTTCTTCTTCTTCTTGCTGTTGGAGTCGGGGTTGTCCATGTTGGAGCCCAGGCTGGAGTGGCTGGTGGCACTGGTGATACTGGAGACGCTGTCCGACGAGTGCTGTCTGCGCATGCGCAGGTCCGGCTGCGCTCCGGGGGACGAACCATTTTTACCTGACAAATGGACAGAGATTTTAGTTGACATCAAGTGTGACATTAATGTAAAGAACTGCAAAACTAACCAACACACCATTAACCAATCAGAACACAACGATGTCTGAAAAGCATCTACACATGAATTTGAATTTTTGGATGAACTATCCCTTTAAAGCAGAAGCGTAACTCATTAAAGGATTAGTTCACGTTTAAAAAAAAAAAAAAAAACTTTTGCTAATAATTTGAACGAATGAACAAATCTTTTTTCGAGTCATTTCGTTCATTCAACGAACAAAATGACTCGAAAAAAAGATTTGTTCATTTTGATGAACGAGTTCGAACAGGAGAGTCACGACGCGCATCACAGGACAGAGCAAGGTGAGCATTTGAGCTTATAAAACTTAAACTTTGTTAATTATTTTTGAAATGAGTGATCGTTTCACTTGATAAGACCCTTATTCATGGTCTGGAATCGTTTAAAGCCCTTTGAACAGTTTGCAGATTGCACTGAAACTGTCTTTTGGACCTTGAGCCGTTTGGTTCCCATTGAAGTGCATTATATGGAGAAAAATGCTGGAATGTTTTCATCAAAAACCTTAATTTCTTTTCGACTGAAGAACGAAAGACATGGACATCTTGGATGACATGGGGGTGAGTAAATTATCAGCAAAATATGAAAGTGAACTAATCCTTTAAAGTGAAAGATAGATGCTAATTTAGCACATTTAAAACTGCATATATTTTGTGTAAGGGTATAGTTGTAGTGGGTTTATTGATTATTCTCTCTCCTTCACCTGTGCGTTCACTCTTGCAGGAGAGTTCAGGAGTGTTGATGACGCCGTTGATGGCTGCTTGAGCTACTGCGTTTTGCTTCTTTAGCAGCTCAATGGTTTTCCTCAACTCGTTCAGCTCAGAATCCTAACACACACACACATATATTTATTGACAATGCATCTGCAAAACATATTCTCTCTATGTCTAATAATGAACAAGAGTGATAAATCCAAATGAAAGCATGTCGATATTTACTTTCTGTTCTGCGGTCATGGTGAGGCTCTTCAGGCGGATGGTCATGTTGCCTAAACTCTGCTCAAACGCTGCCACCAGGTGGGCCTATTAAAGAACAACAGGGGGGAAGAGGTAAACTAAAGAAAGAGGGTTCTTCAGAGTTCAAAATGACAGTTTTGTTGCATGCATGCATCATAGCTACACGATAATACTCCATTCATATAATACATTGTGCAACCTGCCTTCAAGGAAGTAAAATAAAATGTCTTTCTCCTTTGCGATGATAAGACGAGTAATAAAAAAAGCATTTTGCTCAAAGCTGCATGACCTGTACATGAGACACCCGTTTATTGAAATGTAACTGAAGCAGCAAAGCTCAAACTTACTAAATAACAATCATTTCCTTTAAACAAACACTTAGATGTGCAATCTAAACTCTGGCCCGTGTCCCAGACTAACAAGCAACAACAAAAACCTTCTTTGCCCTCTCATTACAATTTACCTTTCCCTCGAAATCTAATTTTCCCTGTAGGAATGAAAAAAAAAAACAACACATTTAACATTTCAAATGTTTCTCCTATTCCACAATGAGATTAAATGGAGATAAAATTGAGTTTTAAAAATTGACTTTTCCCTCTGACATCAGCCTCAATATTCACACACACACACACACACTAGAGTTTTAAAACCGATTGAACAACAACTCAGATTGTGCTCAGACTTCAAATATAAACTCAAACAAAATTCTAATCTAAACTAATATTACAGCTCCCATATACCAACAACTGTCTCATTGGTTTCAGTGTCATTTCTCATGAGACATTTTAAAGAAAATGTAAGAGAATATTACAACTTTCAAAGCTAAGACTCATAAACTATGAAAGAGCAACCCCTAAGCGTAAATGTATCTTCTGGGTCATCTCCTCACCTCACATCCAACAGGGTCTTGGGAGCTGTCAGTTGTCTCCGTAAAGCCTCCCTGTCTATATTTGTCTTTCTGAGAGGGAACGTGTTTCTCTGTGCACCCATGGGACGGGTAGCGGTTCAAAGGGAGCCATTTCAGAGAGCCGGTCCCGTCAGAACACACATTACAAGAGCTCCTCTGCTGTTCCATAGAAAGCTCAGCTTCAGATAACTCGACTACAGCGGTATATTATTATGAAGCAGTGAAGCTCCTCCTAGCATTGATAACTGAGACAGACAAAGCAGAGAGGCCGCCAGGGGCCTTGACATGTTTTACTGGAGTCTCAAGGGCCCGGTCATGTTTTTAATTATCTTTCTCTTTCTATTGGGATATTCTCACTGTTCCTTAGCTGAACACCCTAGAGATATGAATATGATCATCAAAACCAAAACAATGTGCTGTATACGTCAAAACTAATCCTTCCCTTCATGCCAGTCAAAAATCGACTTCTGAAAATGTTTATGTTACGTCAGAAACTGTACACACACATGCTTGCAATGGAAAACATGGCAATGCACCAAAAATAGAAAAACTAGTCTTTAGAACACAACTCCTTTTTTGTTAGTACCTCTAAAACATCTTGTCTGGTTAGTACTTACAAGTCAGGATTTTGCTTTAGGCATTAGACATGTCTTTATGATTTACACATGCATTTATCTTCAGGAGGACATATCAAAAACACTAAACACAGTCTGTACTGTATAATTTGTCCTTAGTCATAAAATATCAAATCAAACACAGTCTGTTTCGCTCGTGGAAATGACAGATATCTGTTCTGACAAGTCTGTTCTGCAGTCTCGCTTTTGATTAAGTTTATTATACTTTATAGATATACACTGGCGGCCGCCAATAGTATTATCATAATTGTGACTATCAGTGTTGGGGAGAGTTACTTTTAAAAGTGATGTCTTACAATATCATGTTAGTCCCTAAAAAAGTAACTTATTCCGCTACTTAGTTAATTTAATGTAATGTGTTACAATATTGTGTTAGTCCCTAAAAAAGTAACTAATTCTGCTACTTAGTTACTTTAATGTAATGTGTTACAATATCGTGTTAGTCCCTAAAAAGTAACTTATTCCGCTACTTAGTTAATTTAATGTAATGTGTTACAATATTGTGTTAGTCCCTAAAAAAGTAACTAATTCTGCTACTTAGTTACTTTAATGTAATGTGTTACAATATCATGTTCGTCCCTAAAAAAGTAACTAATTCCGCTACTTAGTTATTTTAATGTAAAGTAATGTTACAATATCGTTTTAGTCCCTAAAAAGTAACTAATTCCGCTACTTAGTTACTTTAATGTAAAGTAATGTGTTACAATATCGTGTTAGTCCCTAAAAAAGTAACTAATTCCACTACTTAGTTACTTTAATGTAAAGTAATGTGTTACAATATTGTGTTAGTCCCTAAAAAAGTAACTAATTCCGCTACTTAGTTACTTTAATGTAAAGTAATGTGTTACAATATTGTGTTAGTCCCTAAAAAAGTAACTAATTCCACTACTTAGTTACATTTATGAAAAGTAATGTGTTACAATATCATGTTAGTCCCTAAAAAGTAACTAATTCCGCTACTTAGTTACTTTTATGTAAAGTAATGTGTTACAATATTGTGTTAGTCCCTAAAAAAGTAACCAATTCCGCTACTTAGTTACTTTGATGTAAAGTAATGTGTTACAATATTGTGTTAGTCCCTAAAAAGTAACTAATTCCACTACTTAGTTACTTTAATGTAAAGTAACGTGTTATAATACTGTGTTAGTCCCTAAAAAAGTAACTAATTCCGCTACTTAGTTACTGTAATGTAAAGTAATGTTACAATATTGTGTTAATCCCTAAAAAGTAACTAATTCCGCTACTTACTTACTTTAATGTAAAGTAATGTGTTACAATATCATGTTAGTCCCTAAAAAATTAACTAATTCCGTTACTTAGTTACTTTAATGTAAAGTTATGTGTTACAATATTGTGTTAGTTCCTAAAAAAGTAACTAATTCCGCTACTTAGTTACTTTAATGTAAAGTAATGTGTTACAATATTGTGTTAGTTCCTAAAAAAGTAACTAATTCCGCTACTTAGTTACTGTAATGTAAAGTTATGTGTTACAATATTGTGTTAGTTCCTAAAAAAGTATCTAATTCCGCTACTTAGTTGCTTTAATGTAAAGTAATGTGTTACCATATTGTGTTAGACCCTAAAAAAGTAACTAATTCCGCTACTTACTTTAATGTAAAGTAATGTGTTACAATATTGTGTTAGTCCCTAAAAAGTAACTAATTCCGCTACTTACTTTAATGTAAAGTAATGTGTTACAATATTGTGTTAGTCCCTAAAAAGTAACTAATTCCGCTACTTAGTTACTTTAATGTAAAGTAATGTGTCACAATATCATGTTAGTCCCTAAAAAAGTAACTTATTCCGCTACTTAGTTACTTTAATGTAAAGTAATGTGTCACAATATCATGTTAGTCTCTAAAAAAGTAACTTATTCCGCTACTTAGTTACTTTAATGTAAAGTAATGTGTTGCAATATTGTGTTAGTCCCTAAAAAGTAACTAATTCCGCTACTTAGTTACTTTAATGTAAAGTAATGTGTTACAATATCGTGTTAGTCCTTAAAAAAGTAACTAATTCCACTACTTAGTTACTTTAATGTAAAGTAATGTGTTACAATATTGTGTTAGTCCCTAAAAAAGTAACTAAACTAAAAGTAACTGAAAAATGTTTTACCTCAGAAATGCGACAATTTTGTTTTTAAAATTGTCATTTCATATCTCACAATTTCTGGAAATTACAACTTTTTTCTTATTATTGCGACTTTAACCACAAGACTGTAACTATTTCTCATTCTATATCCCACAGTATAACTTTACATCTCGCAGTTGTAACATTTTTTGCGACTTTATACCTCAAAATGACTAATTTTGTGATTTCTTAAAATTGCACTTTTATATCTCATAGTATGTCTTTAGACCTCAAATTGTGACCATCTCTCACAATTTCTACTTCATTGCTTTAATAGCGTCACACAACAACTGTACAACTGTAACTTTTTTTTCGCAATTGCAACTCTCCTATAGGTGAGCAATCACTAAAAACGTCAAAAAAAAAAAAAAGATTTCTTAACAGGTTTAAATAAATGACTAAGTGTAGAAAAAAGTATTACAAAAATACAATAGATTGTGTTGCTGAAGCCCTATTGAATAAAGATAAAGACAACTGGAAACTCCAATGAGGTCATGATCGACGCTGACATTAATCAACCACACAGGCGTCACAGGGATTACGACAACACCATTTATATGACGCCTCGGGTTGACAACTGACACTAGATACAGAGTTGGGAATTAATTATGCCCCATAGATATAATAAAAGAATAAAGATCTATGTATCTGTGTCCACCTACATTGGCACTGAGTTGTGTCGTCAGGGCGGACACCTTTTCCTGGGAGGAGTCCAGTTCTCGACGCAGCTTGCGGATCTGAGGGGAGAAACAGATTGAGAAGGGGAAAGAAAAAAAGTGCCGATGAAAAGAAGAGGAAAGGGAGGCACACACAAGGGATCCAGGTGTGTCGTGGAAAGACAACTTTGTGATTTGGTATCAAAGGGGGGAAACAGTTTGCAGGTGTATGTACAGAATAGAGGTGTGTTGCACAGGTGGACGTAAAGATCACAGAGATGTGCGGTGAAATGAGACCCGACCGTGAATCCACCCACAGTTTGTGTTCACAACAGGTCAATGGTGGTGAATAAACACACTACTGATGGCAATGTGCTTCACAGGTATGTGGGGGGGGGCCCGTGTGTGTGGTTTTTGCGAAAGTAAAAACATGTCCTCACCTCTGAATGTGATTTCTCCTCCGTCTGTGAAAAAAAGACATAGTAATTAGCATGTTTAAACAGCATATTTGCACAGCTTTACTTGTATAGCAGTTGAAAAATGAGCTGCTTTCTTTCCCGAGGGTATAAAACGAACACCACAGACAGCAACACACACCTGAAAATGAACAAAATGATATCCCTAAAGCTCTAGAGAGGGAATATTCATTTTTTTCCTGTGATTTATGAGCTACTGGTACTCTCTCAGACGAACAGGAAGTTGGACACATTTGAATATCACCGAGAGTGATTCATTGAACACATTTATTTGTTTGGAGTTGGTTACTAGATAATATCACGTATCACCCACAGCTGAACGGAAACCTGAACGTAAAACCCGATGATCATGTGATTTGAAATGCATGATATGAAAATGACCTAAAGAGCATATTGAGCTTCAATGGAAGCAAGA